TTCGAGTTGAATTTTTCATATTTTTAAACACAATTTTTTGAGTTTTGGCCAAAATTTCGTACCTCCCGGCGTGCTTTAGCGTCTCCTTGATCAGATTTTTCTTTTTTGGATGAATTCTTACTCTTTTTCGCGCTTGTTTCACTTCCGGAATTTTTTATTTTGCACATTTAGTAAGTGCAAAAGAATTTTCAAATCGAATTTTTGCAAATTGTGATATTTGTTTCTCTGTAAGCAGTATTTTTCAGTAAGTTTTTTTTTTTTCAGAAAAAACAACAGCACTGGCAGAAGAAGGTAAAAATGACGAAGGATTCAATTCAGACGCTTATTTGCAACAGATGTGCACCTTTGATGAATCTTTTGGTGATGTTAGGTTTTTTTCTCTCATTTTTGCGATTTTTTTTTAAAATTTCTTATCGCTTCCTAGATTTCCTGTCTTTCCGGAATAGTACTAGACTACATAGAACTTGAAATCGTGTGGGATTAGCACTGCTCTTCCACACTGTCTTTTACCCCCGTCTCCCTTCGCTCCTCCTCCCTTGTCCTCTTCTCCCCCTCCCCTCCCCCACCGCGCCTCCGCTTTCCACCGTCTTCTCCATCCCTCCTTTGTTCGATGATCGCTTTGTTCGCTTGTAGATATTGATGACGGCGGATGGGTGTGTTCCAAGTCATATCCTGTGAAGATGTCGAGGACTTCTTTTTTTAGTGAAAAAACGAAATTAAGAAGACATTTAAAATAGTTCGAACTGTTTCTGCTATAATACGATGGGTTAGTGAAAAAAGACACCAAGAAGTTACTGTATAACATATTTGCAGGCGCAAACTTGTCAGCATCTGGTGACCGATGCAAAGTTGACGAAGTGTGTCTCGAAATTGTTGTTAACTGAGGTGCAGAATTTCCAAAACAATTTCACCGACAAAAAGATTGATTCACATTTATTTGCGCAGAAACTGGTAAGAAGTTTTTCGTTTATTTTGCACAAAAATTGACCCATTGATGAATCTGTGGTTGACTAATTTATACTGAAATGATGGCGTGTGGTGTGCCGATTGGATCTGTTCAAAGTCATACCCTGTCAAGATGTCGAGGATTTCTTTTTTTAGTGGAAAAACAAAAAAATTCCAAAACGCCTGAAATTTTGTTAGAAGTATTCGGAAACTTCTTGTGTTGAGCAGAATTCTTGGAAGTGTTGAACAAGCCATTAAAAACAAACTACTTCTTTTATATAAATACCAAATTCGAGCGAAATAGAGCGAGACTGTCTATTTAAGGTCGCTTTTGGTCAAAATAGGCAGATTTAAACACAGACTGCATCGTAAAATATCACCTTAATACATCTAAAGGATCAAAGACAGTTCGCACCGTAAAATATCACCTTACACATGACGACTGAGTACAATCCTTCTGGTCTATTATTTAAAACAGAAAGCATCGTCATAAACTGAGAGCGCCAGAACTGAGGTTCCACTTTTTCCGGCAGTTAAACGTCTAGTTATTGAGATGAAGACTTTCCTATGTTTTAAATGTGGCCTGCCTGACCTCATTAACCACCTCTCTTGCGCAGCAGGACGCCTCATCAAGATCCGAAAGCATCAACGTTTGAATTGAGGTAGAGATGCGCAACACATACCAGAAACATTTCAAACTGCTCAGACCTTGCCGATAAACGTTGCACCGATAATCTCTTCAGGAGACGAAACAAGCATCATAATTAACATCAGATTGACAAATTTAAGACTTTATTGTTTATTTCGTTTCAGAAAACATTTTTACAAGAGCAATGCAGTTCGGCTGGGCAAAATGACGAGGCGGAAGTCAACAATCAATTAAAATGTTGGGCAGCATTCAGTGATCGTTTTATCAATGAAATCCTCAGACTGCCACCCACGCTATCATCTTTGTAAAATTTTTTTTTTGCGTGTTTTTATTAAGCTTTATAAAAACTGAACCAACACCAGTAATTGACGGTTCTCCAATTTCTTATCTGCTGTCCGGTTAGTGCATGCTATTTTTTATTACTTTTTAAATTTACCTCCTTTTTGCCACCTAAACTTATGACCTATTTTCTTTTAATAAAATTTATTTCGTTTATTTTATGCCAATCCTACAGCTAACATATTGACGAGGTCCAGTTGTGGTGCTAAATAAAACTGTATAATATGAATTGCTGGTCCAAACATTTCTGTTTTTCTGATTATTTATCATAATAATTTTGTATTTTTGTTTTATAACTGTATCATAATATTTCTGTTATAAAAACAGGTATTAATTTAGATCGAGGTAAAATGCAGCACCTATTTTTGCGGTATTTAAGTCACTGTGTTGATCGGGGACTAGAATAGGTGGTAACAGAGTGAAAGTTAACATGAAATAAATGAAGGATTGAGAAAGCGGAACTTTGCATCCAGTTAGGCGAGGCAAAATTAAAACGGGCTAAGTGGAAAAAAGGAGGAGAAGCAAATTCATGCGGTGGAGATGGCAGGGGGAAAAAAGGGGAGGGGGAAGATCGAAGAGGGGATAGGATTGTTGTGAAGACTGCTATTCGGAATAATAGCGTATTGCCAATAAAAAATTAATGTGGTTGC